ACCTGCTTCTCCGAGAAAGTCTATTCCCGAGATCGTTCGCCTTATATCTGACGTTGCAATGAACGATCTCTATAACGCAGTATGAAACACCAAGGATCTGCGAATAATGTCCCTCTACCGTCTGAACTGCCAATGTGCGCGCCCTGTTCTCCACCTATCAACGAAACTACTGCCTCTGTGTCGGTTAAACGAACTAGTTATCTTTCATTAGCCTGCAGTCTTCCGTATACGGCAACTCCTTCAATTAACCCCCCAACCCCCAAGCGCAAGCGAAGAAAAGAAGGAAGACTGTATCGCTTGAAGTCTGTTTGCCTTTGTTTCGGGCAATTTCTCTGCTAGTGGCCGGTTTCTCCGCAAGCGAAACATCTGCCGTGATGTCATCCACATATCTGCATACCCAACACATGCTGTTTCGACTCTTCAGTTCGGTCTTCAATCTTGTTGGATTCTTGGCACTCCGTCATCACTGGAGCAACATGCGAAATTATTAGTTGCCTAGTGACCCTTGCCACTTCATGAACATCCATCGGCCAAGCCGCGTTAACTAGCTGCAACTGAAGAGCGATATCCGTAGGGACGCGAATCTTCGTCCAAGGTGAGTGGTGAGCGATGCAGAAGACTTCTCAGCGTTACAGCGAGAACCAAAGGATCGCCGTCGCCACCATACCTCAGAGTCCGGAACTTCCGCGGCGCCTGTATGTTGATGGCACAGCGGTTAGGACTCTCGCCTACAATGCAAATGGTCCGAAGTTCAGTCCCCAGCCAACGCACAACCAATGTCGACGGTTGGACTGCTAAGTATGGGCTACCGATATCATGTGCTGAAAATTCCATACTTGTACCAAAATACTGTGTCAAATCCGTCTATAGTAGAGTAAATAAATATGAGCGTTATGGAGTCTTATAGCAACGTCATTAAGATTATCTCCAATCATGCTGATGGTTTGAGAACCCTTATCCAAATAAATCATACTGTATCTGCGTGGCTGTTTCATGGTCCAGGTTTGAAAAGAGTGTTGTACACGCTTCAATAGACTTTCTTGCCTTTCCTCATCAAAAGTGTACAAGCTGAGTCAACTTCCGTCCCTTGTCACTTAATTTACTCTCAATTGCGTTTCGAAACTGGCTCATAAACATTCTGTATTGATTAGGGTCACCATCAAAGCACACAACACCAACCTTTACTGACAACGTAGCAATTTTGACATGAACTCGTGCATCTCCTCATGTTTACCGTACAGATTAGAATAAAGCTAACCCAACTCCTCTTCCAATTCTAACTGTCCTGTAGGCTTGTCTTCTTGTTGAAAATAACTAACGTGACTATGGCATTTAATGAAACCATGCGTGCGAACATCAAAATTCTTAACCATCACGTTATCAATACCTTTGTAGCGGTAGGTAATTCCCCAAAGTTATTAGCCACAGCACTGATCACTAAACATTGGATGCTCACCCTCACCGAATAAATCAAATTGCTTAGTTGAATGCCCACAGTCAGGCACCATCACTATCTGGCACACCGTCGTGTTAAGTTCGTTAGTTTGTGACGATCCACAGCTAGTTAAACAGTCAACCCGGAATTACTATTCGTTCCCGAAACATGCTTCGTAATTCATATGATCAAACTTGGTGTTTTGTTTTGTCATGGATCTACGCGCTTATGAAATAGCCCAACGAAATCGTGTTATTACTGTCCAAGGAAAAATATATCATTCTTCAATCGGGTCGCCAAAATTTCCTCAGCTGCATAGAAAATTGCGTGAGATATTCTATCGAACTGCCGAAAATCAACAAGTTGTATCGAAAGTACAGAAATACCTTGAAATTGCATTTGAATAGCCATGTAGTTCAAAGGCTGCTCTTGTACGGAGTTCTTAGTGGGAATGTTTTGTTACGATTCTCTTTTAACACACTGCTCTTGAGGTCCATCGCGGAAGCCTTGTTAGATACATGGACGTTTAGCGGGCATTCATGGGAGCTATGCACTCAATATGAGCCTCACAATCAGTTGAGCCATAGTTCATACCCAACTTATATTTGACCCACTGTATTTTCCAACATTAAGTTTCGCCAGGTATCTTCCGTCTTCAATAACAAGACTTACTAGTGAGTAGAAGATTACTGGAGTCTCTAATTTAAATGACAAGGGTTCAGTGACGTATCTTTTCTATCCCATACAAGAGTGCTCTCTTGATTCACCCTGTGAGATTTTCTTACCGTGTGTCTCTTGATTGATCCATATTTATTGATCCACATGAGAGGAGGTACATTCGCTTGATTTTTAGGAGTAATTTAAGTTTTACACGGGACATCCCATCTGAGGCTAGCTTATTTTGTCTATCACTTCCGCTTGATCAGCAGTTCCTTGAGAGTTACCACAAGGGATGTCACAGCGCCCTTCCGGTAATCACTCGGGCCATGCGCAATGCGCTACTCTTTGGGAAAGCTATTAGTTAAGCAGCAACAATAACTTCGAGCTCGCTTCCAGTTGGATTCACCTACGCTCACAGTTGCCGTGTGGCTATCTGTCCTGCTAGATATCAGTTTTGGCCGCACTACCTGCTCTTAACGCTGCCGCAACTCGAGAAGAGTGAACATAACCCTTATGGCTGCTCAAGAATGTATCTGTTAACGATGGTAAGGCGAGAGTACAGCGGTATAAAATCACACCACAAGCCAAATTGTCCCAATGTTCCCTGAAAACCCAATCATCCACAGGCTTATCCAGCTAAAGGAATTGACTTTTAAAAACGAAGTGGCTGAGATTCAATTGAATGGACGGATTTCCATGAATCCCTAAAATACATTATTTTACGTGTCACTGTAAGGTCGCCGATCATTCTGCGGTAGCTAAGGGTATACAAATCCGGCTGTCGTAGTCAGTTACGATACGTCTAAAATTTCGATCTGATGACAGATTTCGCTTCTCTACTCAGTACTGTTTATGTAGCTTCAATTGATCTCCCCTTATCTGAAGCGGAATTCGGTTTGCGATTGCTATTTAACTTCGTGTCGGTATCCAATATAGGTTCCATCCCTAAGATTAGGTAAGGGGACTGACCAGTGTGCATTCAGCGGAAATCTGATGCATACTATCAGAGGAGTAGGGCTGAACAGCGAATTGAACAGACAGGCCACATGCTACTCGACAAAATTAATGAATCTCCCATTCATCTTGGACACACTATCCAGTATCTGTTTAACAAGCTAGTGTGAAGCAAATCGATTTCTTTTGCTTGCATCTAGGCCACAAGGTATATTTTCGCCCGGTATGTCCAGCTACTTGACTGTAGTAGACTATCTTGACTCCAGGGAGAGTGTTACTGGGAATGTTCATATGTGGTTTGTTGCATGCAGTGCTAAGGTCAAATCACTGCTGGGAATGCAGTTAATAATTTCAAAGTTAGTCATCCGACGTGCTCAAAAATAGAGTCAGTAAACGCAATACGTAATAAGAAGCAACAATAATAGATATAATTTATGCAGATTATTTGGTGTAAAATAGGACATGATGAAATTCAATAAGTATGCGTGTAAACAAATAAGTAAAAATAATGATACCGGAATAAGTGCATGGATAGGTATAGAAGTCAGAAGAGTGAGACAAAGGAGGATGGGTGTTTCGGTTCTCTTGACATAGATTCCAATGAAAATGTACAGTATATATCGCAAAATAATCCAATGGTATTCTACGATCATTCAAACTACATTGCGAAATTTTACATTAGGCCACAGCAAATTGGAGAACTTGATTTTCTGTCAAATCGAACTGGAGAAAGTGAGTGCTCGGCCGAAAATATCTCACAAATTTAAAGTAAGGGTGCCACGAAAATTGCTCTTGAGGATAGAGACTTGTGGCTGACTAAATGCCTAAGTTCGTTTTTACGCGAAATAAAAAGGACAAAACAAGTGCAAACCTGTTTATATGTAGAAGGGTATTCAGTACATATAAGATGCAGTTATTTGAAAAGTTATAATTGTCCCGAAATACTCAAATATAGACGTACAGAATGATAGGAGTAAAATAGTCCTTTACTTGGGCATACAGATGCTCATTACACGTAAGAGATGCCAACGGCCGAGGGGCACTTACAGAGAGAATAGTAGATTGGAGCAAAAGATCCTAATTTGGATGTGCTGGTCAGGTACGAGGCAGAGTTGGCTGGCAGATGTGGCAAGCGAGAAGCTGGAGAGGGAAGAAGTGTCGTCTGTATCGCGCGCGAAACCCGGTGCGGTCCATGTCAAATTTCACGTAACAACTATGATGTTCTGTGAATTCATTATTTTTACTATTTTACGGTGAACGTAAAATTTGATATTTACCGGCTATCATGGCTTGTAGTGTTGGACCAAACCAAAGTAAATCCAATTTGTCAGAAACAAACTCAACCAAATCCGAAATTGGCTAAACGGCTGGAAATGGAAGCGTACTGACGACAAAATTTTGAAGAACTGCAAGATAATTGTTCTTCACAAATGAAGTTATCCGGCTTCCCAACACAAATAGTACAGTGGTTGATTCCAGAAGTACTTCGCAGATGACAAAATGTCAATTCAAACGAGAAATGTTCGAGAGTCTAATGAAGCAAAAACGGTCTAATTAACACAAAATACAAAATGGTTCATGACATAAAGCTTTAGTGTTTAAAGCTGGAAACACTAGACCTAACAAACAGAGTACCTTTGTTTGCAGGATTCCGGTAAGTTGTAATACTGTGAGCGGTGATTCCGTCGTCCTAAGGCCAACGACAGCTAAATGTGGAAAGACTCAGTTTCTTCAGCCTTTCATCATATAATTGACTTTGGTGACCGATCACCTCTTTCGTCCTTGAACCCCTTCCAAAAGATCGGGTCTGCTGAAGTGGCAAAAGCAAAGTGATAATAATGACTGAGGAAACACTATCTCACCATCAAGAGGCAGGAGAAAAGAAATCAAATTTCTTCTACTGCCTCATGATGAGGATGTTGGACATTGGAATCTTACACTAAATGATTGAGTTGGATACCGTTGGTGTCGCTTACTCGCGACTATTTGAAATATGGAAATTAGCTATGTGTACGCCAAAAGGCGATCGGAATTCGGAAGACAGTGCAACTTCAGTGACAAAAATGCAGAAATGTTAGTTGAAATACTCCCAGATGTTGATGTATCACATAAGTTTATCGAAATGAATCCTATCGACAAGGGTGTTCAGTCATCGCAAGAAATGTCCGAACACGAAGCTAACACTGAAAGATATCGTTCGGAATCTCGAGGGATGAACCATACAGAAGGTGGCTGGCCAAAGGATGTCAATGCACAGGAACCTGACCAGGTTATAAGGTATCGGAAGAAGGTTGAAAAAGATGAGTTGTATATTGCAACAGTTCATAAACTTGGAAACGTAAGTCCTACATTATGGTGACAGTATCGTAGATTATGGAGCACTGCATTAAACAAAACAATGCACTGAATATTTATGAAAATTATTTCGAAGATTTCGATGTGAACACTTCCGAAGACCCTCCATCCGCTAAGACTATAACCGTCTTAAAGTGAGATGATGGTTTGTGTACAGCCTTTTCAATCTAGAGATATGAGCGATCCAAAACGAAGCATTGCACACATATCTTGGTATCCTGATGGTCCAACAAAGTTGGCTATCGCCTACTGCAACACTGAATTTAAGTCAGTTTCTGGAAACACCTCAAACGAGTCATACATATGGGATGTCACCAATCCCAACAGACCTGAACTGACGCTTAAAACAGCCTCTCCGCTTGTCTGCATTGAGTATAACCCTAAAGACTCCCACACATTAATTGGTGGCTGTTATAACGGACAACTTTGTAAGTAGCCAATCGAATTTTAATTTCTCTTGCCCTCTAGCATTGTGGGATAGACGCAGGGGCTCCAACCCTGTTGAAGTCTCACCGATTGAACACAGTCACAGAGATCCCGCCTGGAAAGTGATTTGGATACAATCTAAAACCGGAACTGAATGCTTTTCTACGGGTACTGATGGTCAAGTTTTCTGGTGGGATGTCAGGAAAATGTCTGAACCCACGGAGTTTCTTTATCTCGATCCCACCAAGAAACAAGACTTTTCGTGTGCTCAAGGAGCTTATGTATTGGAATATGAGTCCACCATACCCACAAAGTTCATGGCTGGTACTGAACAAGTGAGTCACTAGGCTTTGGGCACGTTCATTATTATTTCCATTCCATTCTGATTCTGGCACTCCAGGTAACCAAAGAAAGTTCGGTACTTCTGATTGTCTCATGTATTTCAGTTGTAAATTTGCTTCAGAACAAATGATGAGAATATTTTACACAAAATACTGGGGAAACGAATTACAGTATTATTTATGAACTTAAATAAGCATTCTCAATATATAAACTTAAGGGAAATTTTTCCACTCTCGTAAAAATCTGCTATGATTGGCTGATTGGCCACATTTAGTTACGTTTGCTGTATCCAATAGAACTGTTATAATGTCAACACGACCTCACAGAGCGGCTGACTTCCATATACTTCTCGTGTTAATGGAATAGTAAGTCGGAAAACCCATGGATTATATCGAAACCATTAAATTCAGTCTCCAGAGATGAAATCATTTATTGAAAGTCGTTCTTCAGCATCTGCATGGTTTGAATCTTTTCATACAGTATGGCAATACCGCCTGCATACTGGAAGATAGCAAGTCACTTCTAGAACAGCAGCCAATCATAAGTAACCTCAGCATTGTTTGAGGACAATTGAGAATGATTTTCTTCTGTCTTTCTCTTTCTCTCTCTAGTGCACTATTTGTGCATAGTTTCGTTTCTTATTAGTGACCCCCTGTAGTGGTTAATAGGAGAGCGTGCAAATTAACCATCTTGATGTTGCGTATTTTTCTAAGGTTTGCTGCCCTAAAGTGCGCGCTATCTAATTCTTCTGACATCCACTACTTTTTAGGAAACCTTGGTATTACCTACTAGTCAGTACTCACTATCACAGAATCTTACTCATTCATCAATATTAGAGTTGGATATTGAATATGATGAGGGGAGAATGCTACACATTCAGTAGTGAAAAGTGTATTAGGACTAGGCTAAGTGAAGCCAATAGTTTTCACACTTATCAGCAAGTAATTGAAGACTTTCAGTGGAGTATTTCTAAAGCAAAATAACTGTGCCGACCAAATGCAGAGTTTAACGCCGTTGATTTATGAAGTCGTAGATTGGTTTTCAAATTATCCACTTGTGAAGTTAAATATATAGAGGGTACGGCTATCAATTCCAATTATCTTCAGAAGAATTTTGAAGTGTTGCTTTAATTGCATATGATAAATTTATGTTTGTCATTTGAATAACCTGTAAGATGGAATGTCAATCAATTTAACATAAAATCGTCAGAATCATATGAAAATTTCTAGAAATCCCGTGTATAGGAAATAGGAGACTGGCGATATATTCAAATTTTAGAGTACTTGTGTTGCTTTACAGCTCCAACTTTCCAGTTACAAGTTTTGAGCATTAACTCTAGGTCACGGATGGTTGTTTGTTTGTTGCGACTGACATGCTTTTCCTCATTAAGGGGGATAAGACTTACTCTTGGTACTTCCCATCAACTGCCTCTTGTCGGTTAAAATCAAATACTTCATGCGACTTTTCACATCATGCTGTATCTACACCTCTTTGTGGGAATATATCAAGGATAAATGAATTGTGTTCTATCCTCGGAAAGAATGTGTTTTCAAATAGTTATGGAATTATTTTGTTATTCTGTTAGTGTTGACTGTCAATGGAGTCCTGTGTACCAGTACTTGGTGGTGGTCGCATTGAGACTCGAATCCATTGTTTGTTTAATCCAAGTGGGCAAAACTGGAAAATAGATGCATCGACATCCAATCGTGAGAGCTTATTTATGATTGGTTACCAACTGAATAGACAATTTTAGTCGGAGATGAAGATTGTGTTGTTCGGCGTATATCCCACACATTTAAAGTTGTTTATGAGGCAAATAATGTATTTCTTCCTCTATCTAACTTTGACTACTTGGCCTACGGTAACTAGTAGCAGTCTGAAATTACTTCGCAATATTCGTATTTCGAATACCTTAATTAAAAATGCAAGTTTACTTGATCATTGCTCTCTATCAATAAAACCCATGTTACTCACTTTGTCTTGCAAAATCCGGAGCCTCCCAGATCAACCCTGGTCCAGACTTGATTATTTCAAATGCTTAAACACCATTCATCGATCTGCTTAACAAAAATAAAGTGCGTCACTGACAGGGGATAAAAAGTAAGAAATTAACATCTGACACAGGTACCTCGCCATCATATCACTCATCTTAGGGGTCATAATTTTTTGTGTCTCTCATAGGTCGCCTATTACCAGAAGTACTGTGCGACTGCCCAAAGCTTTCGAAGGTGGATTCATCTTATAATCGTGGTCCCAAGAAGTTAAAAAATTACAGGAAACTAACTTCTGTTATGATTCGATTAAGCTGAAATTTTGCAGTTAAGATTCAACCAGTGGATCATTGGGTTTTATTAATTTGGATTGTTAACAAAGAGTCTATAAAGCGCATCTTGTGTCACCAATAATCAGTAAAGAGACTCATTTTTCTTTGAGAAACGAACCCAGCTGTTTATCAACTGCTATTTACCATTCGCAAACTGTCAGGTTATGTTTGCTGAACACTTTACAGTTCCACATCTTTCACTTAGGTTCAGATTGTTTCGGAAGTTTAAACAAAGTGGATCGTTTTACTCTGATGCTTGAAAATGTGTCAGTTTCCAGCAATATTACACATGCAATTTAATAAAAAGAAAAAATCCGTTTCATAAAAGAAACCTTTCTGGCTTTCAGGGGATTATCATCTCTTGTAACCGGAAAGGCAAGACACCTGCAGAAAAAATTGTTGCTGCATATCCTGGACACATTGGACCAGTTTACGCATTGCAGAGAAATCCATTTTTTCCGAAGAACTTCCTTAGTGTTGGTGACTGGACTGCTCGAATATGGTCGGAAGATATTCGAGATTCTGCTATAATGTGGACAGCCAACCATGACTATGGTCTTTCTGATGGATGTTGGAGCCCTGTTCGACCAGCTGTATTTTTCACTACTTGTCTGGACGGAACATTAAGCGTTTGGGACATTATATTCAAGCAGGAAGCACCGGCTCTCAATATTCAGGTACGTTGATTTTTAATTCTGGTTAAAAATATGTGAATAATGTTCTGTAAATGAAAATTTAAGCAACTGAATCTATCCAATAGTCAATAAGGCTAAAATTAACAGTCTGAGAATAAATAAACTAGTGACATATTTTGCTCACTCACTCACTGTTTACTTCATTTCACTCGATTCCTATCCCACTTAAAGAAACAAACAATGGTATCAGGCTTAGCACATTAGTTGCTGCTACAGACACAACTTCAAGATCTTGTTGACTAACTTTCATGTTTTATTCTTTTTCGATTAAAACAAAGCAGTGGTAATAATGCTTAAGATGTGAAACTTGTAGTCCTCCCACATTTCCAGACTTTGTTCAGCAAACTATGATTATGTGTCTCTCACTTTCCTATCTCCATCTGTATTCCTTATACCAAATCTGCTGATTTGAGGTCTGCTAAACTGGACTACTACGTAGTAGTTATCGATTGTTTATTTAAAGGTGAACTTGGCACCACATAAGTACAAAGTGATGCGCCACACTAAATAATCGAACACCAATATAGGCGAAAATATGATAAAACAATTGGGGAGTAAAAGAAAGAAACATCCAAGCATACTTATCTATTGAATTTAAAGGGGTGTTCAAAATTGCATACCATTTTCTACAGAATGAGAAAGCGGAAAACTGGAGCATATTCGTCACCAATTCTGATGCTAATTCATGTGTGACAATGCCTTCAACAACTTGCTTGTTGGAGTTCGTCCATACGACTGCGAGTGAATGAACGATTGCAGATGTCCACTTCGAATAGCTGAACTGCAGATATGAAAATTGACTTGGGAAATTCGGAAAATCATGACTGTCCATCATAGAGTAAATTTATTTGGTAAAAGCACACAGTGATACAGTACTATTTATTATTATTTATATGTCAGTAAATAATACTGTATCACTGAGTGCTTTTATCAAATAAATTTAATCTGTGATGGAATTACACTCTAACACAGTGCTCACGTTCTATTCTTATAAACAATGTCTGTCAACTTTTGGCATACATGGGCTCCAGAATCTTCAAACAAACGAATGGCAGACGAACCTATTTTGATCATCATTAATTACGAGTACTGAGATCCTCACTTCGCTCCACTAAGTCAGATACGGAGACCGGTCTCCTAGGACAATTATCTGCCTTGATTTGCTCACATAGGCAGTATCTGAGCCCTGGCGAAAATATGGCGTGACATTTCAATGAAAGGTCCAACTTATCTTAATGCTCTTCCAAGCTATTATTCCTGCCGAAAAATCAGTGATACATCCAGCCATTTGACTTATTACCATTATATTACCATCCTCATATATGAACCGTCTTGTTTGATCTCTATCACACATACGTTTGTTGTTATATTTATTTTCATGGAGTGTTCGTTGTTATTTCATATCTTAGTCTGTCTGTGCCGTTTTGATTCTCTAAATAGTCGCTTTCAGAATTCTGACCTCCAGAGACATATCTTAGTAGGCCATAATGATACAATTCGTCACGTTTAAGTTTACATGTTAATTGGAATCGAAAGACGCACAGGTTTAGCGGAAATCTTCGAAAGCATCGCGATTGAAGTAGGCTGCATCAAAGAGATCTACATACAGGATCCATGTGGGGTGCTCCGAATGATTTCCCCACGTATTAACTGAAACTGTAAGTTTTATGTGAGTTTATTCGGATGCCTAGTATCATCGGTGTCACTGTTACGCCAAGGGGTAGGGCCGATGCTTATTTTTAGTGGACACCAATTTCTTGCACAGTCACTCCCTTAGTACTACCTGACGCCTGGCGTCTGTCACTCAAGCCTGGACTCAGACAGACCAAACCGGTATCAGCTAGGATAACTAACAGAACTATCTCTTCTTCTGAAACAGTTTTCTAGATTCTGATCATGCTTTAGCGTGTACTGGTGTTTTTTGCGACTTCATGCTGATCATCCTAACCAGATTGATGTGTGAATATCGGTTTTACCGGCTACTACAGTTAACTGTCAAATCCGGCAGATTTGTGTTTAGCTGGTGACCATCTATATATTATAGACGAACACTGGCTATACTGATGAGAAGCAATGAAGATGACGAGTAAAGTGGCTTTCAGCCTAGGAGAACGTCCTTCAAAAGGCACTTGATTACTGTGTGAGTTCTCAGCAGCTTGTAGCTATCTGAATAGTTTGAGTTTCCAAGGAGAACTGTATAATTTACAAATATCGCATCTGATTTCGCGTTTTCTTCTTGATGAAAGGCTAAAAGTGGATTGAGCTGACATACTAATTAATCCCCACAGCTACAATATGTTTCACAGATAGCTATATCCACATAGCACTAGCCAATCATTCTAATATCTAGACAACTAAGGTAACCCGTATTTATTTTAGTCAGTAGACATTCGTCGATTCATAACTTCACCTTCATAATTCTGTTGGTTGATGATCATAGTAAATTATCAGTGGGACCTATATTTCATAAAACACTATTGGGTCTGTGCATAGCACGCCTGCGTTTACCATCCACATCTAATTGTTCCGCATGCTATTTCACTCATGTCTTTAATTCTTGTCTTGAAAACACAATTTCATTCAGAGAGCACTACTCGGGATATGCTGGAATTGAATTATCTTGTACACTTTTTGAATGTTCTATCGTGATGATGATTTTATTCATTTTACATATTTTTATGGAACTCTCATTTGTATCTTTTCTTTTGTTTATTTCCTTTTGTTATTATAGTGTTGGTAACGACAATTTTGATGTTTATTTTTATGCGTAGCCACATATGCTCTTGCTAACATCTAACTTTTGAGTAGATGCACAAATAGATATGAATTCGACATGACTTAACAGTATATGTTTTTGACTGAAACTATTCCAACAGTTAGGCTGTAACAGACCGCAAGATCACAACCAGTAAAACAGAAGAAATAATGGAAGAAGTTGGGAAACTCATGACTGTTAATTTTAGGCAAGATCTAATAAGAATAGACGAGATTGACTTTAATAGAACCTTGGTCTTGGTGAATAAAATATTTATAAAAGCGTAGAGACAAAGTCAAATGAGGCAAACGGCACTAATTCCCTATCAAGGCAACAAAATACTAAGTAACAAATTAAGGTGTTCGAAAAAATAGTAATGCTCATTCCAATGACAGTTCTTTCTTGAGTATAATATAGGGAAATAACTGTAAAAAGATAATTAGTATTTGTCGAGTTCATTTATACATTGGCAGTGCTAATTCTCTCTTCATTGTATCCTGAAGTGAACTTGTGTCATTTCACTTCTTATCTCATCTCAAAAGACAGATTTGTGACGAACCGCTTCATTGCCTCAGAGTTCAAGAACAAGGTCGACTTATTGCAACAGGATCGCACAGTGGAGTGTGCACAGTTCTGGAACTCTCTGAAGGATTTTGGACCCAATCGAAAAACGAAAAAGCTTTAATAACCTCTATGTTCGAGAGAGAAACCCACCGTGAGAAAATTCTGGACGCAAGACATCGGGAGATAAAACTACGTAAACAAAAACTCCAAGGGGCAGTAAGTCAGTATTAAAGATGTTTTCATATTACCTTGATTATGGCTAGTGAGCACCACCCTTTGATGTGCATATTTTCTGACTGTTCATAGAGGGTAAAAAAACTGTTATGCAGCTCATGATGATATTGGTATTTAGAAGTGAAACTAGGTGTAGAACCGTTGGTAACATCTCAGATTGAAATCAGTTGAATGAACTCTTGTTGTAATATAATAATGATGGCATATATTTGAACTCAAAACTCTGACAAGTTGTGTGTGACGGCCATTTCGTTTGGGTAATTTCAAGGATATCAGTCTAACCTTAGGTTCATAAGACCATTTTATCAACAGGATGAGCCGCAGGGTTGCTTGGAAATTCCATGCAAAAGGTTTGTTTACTGAATAATAGACGCACTTATGTCTATGAGTAGTCCTCAGTGAGCTTCAAAACAAATAAACGCCTTCTAAAAGAGGAATTCTAACTTACATTCACATTTTCGAGCGCGTCAAGAAGAGATGATACACATAATAGGATGCAAAATACAAGTCTAGTTTAATGCCTTAAGGGAAGGAGAGAGAACACTCAGGAGAGTGAGGGAAAATGCAGTCATTCAGTGTTACCATTAATCTTATTTGTCCATTTATTCATCACATCACATCGTATTTAAACGTTTGACCTACAAAAATTCATTTGGTAGAAATCAGTTATACCATAGTGAATACAAGAAATTATGTAAGTATAGTATTTGGGCACTGTGGTAGAACGAACATGCACATTAGGTAAGTTTATTTTATATAACACGAATTCACATTCACTTGACTACGTGCCTTTACCGATTTTGGGTGGGATGAACCAAAGTCTAAGTGTTTGTTAGAATGTGTCAGTTTTCTACGGATGCCTCGGTGGCACAGTGGTTAGGACTCCCGCCGACCATGCACATGGTCCGGGGTTCGATCCCCTGCCGGCGCACACCCGATATCTATGGTCGGCCTGTAAATTTGGGCTACCGATATCCATGCTGAAAATTCCATAATTGTTCTGAAAATACGGTGTGGAATCAAGCTGTAATAAAAATAAAAATCAAATAAAATAGTATCTAACCCACTATCCTGTTTCTGACTAATTCTAACTCAAGAGTGAATGGGATTCCACCTACAACTGAGTTTATACGTGTGAAGAACTTAGGGATCTGTTCAGATTTTAATACAGTGGATGTGTCATCCACATATCTCCGCTATCACCTAGGATCAGGATAAAACGTCCTAAGAGCTCGACGTTCCCAACCATCTGTGAATGTATCTGCAAGTGTTGGGAGTATTTGTGATTCCATTGCCACCCTATTTGTTTGTTTGCATATTTTATTTTGGAATTTGAATACAGTGGAGGTTAGGTATAATTGTACACCCAACATAATTTCATTGATATGGTGATGCGTAATAAACTGCGACCGAAAACCCGTCCAGTTATCAATAGCGTATCACTGTGAGCTTTACAACAAAATAAACTTATCTAGTATGGAATACGAGATTCAATCAATGATTTGTGTTAAAATTTATTAAAAATAAATTTATCATGATAGAATTTGTTTAGGATGGCGTATAGATTACATTCAAAATTGCTTTATTGATAAACATGTTAGATTCGTAATAATGGGAAATCAAGTTGTCAGGGTAAATTAAGGTTGATTACGTTTTCCTTTCGAACACATGACGAGGACCGAGACGTTTTATTCTAATAGACTCAGTAATTCGTGGAAGACTAAGTCCATTTTGTTTCTTTCAAATATTCTAGATCACTCTAAATAGTCTGCTTGGTAGTTCAGGCCTGCCAGGTGTTAGAGATTAAACTGTTCAGATCATTAGGTTCGTTTAAATGAAGTCTCTTCGATATATGTAAACATTTAAATTATAATATAGGCTGTACGCACCTGGAGAGAGCCAATAAATAAATTCATGTTGTTCTGCTGCAATGTTTGATACCACTATGTTCAGTTTTATAGAGGTGAATACATGTACGTACTACTTTGTAGTGAAGTTAATTATGTGAAAAAGTATATTATACCTGTTTATAGGTAGGTGGCACATTGGTAGAATGCTCGCCAACCACGCAGGTGGTCCTGGGTTCGATCTCCGGCCGACGCACTCCTTTACCTTGCTAAGTTAATAATAAGACTGGTAAAGAGGGAAGGTTGAGCATGAGGCTAGCAACCCCATCCCGTAAAAAGTCAACAGCACTGTTATTGAAAGTTCAGGAGTCTATCTTGAAGCCCTGTGTTCCACTGGTATTGTAAAGGAATAAAAAATTGGGTAAGTGAATTGGATAATATGCAAACACCAATTAGTACTGTTGGCAGAAGTTTAATGGCGATTTCAGCTACGGCCGTCCGTAAATAAAATCTTTATTCATAAAGAGTAAATTCCACAATTCAGCAAAGGAAATTTTCTTTATCGATCAAATCATCTTCAGAGGCTGTACAGTCGTATTTACATTTGCCAAAAATGTATAGTAGTCTATTATTGAGTAACATGGGGTGACATTATTTATATAATTACTCGGAAGTGGTTTTAGAAGTAAAAATAAAGTTGCAAATTACGTAGTACTCAACGGCACAAAGAAAGAAAGGATTAGAAATTTGATAAGGTTAAAACTGTTATTGAGTGAGAATAAAGGTAGTTCAGTGTCAATTTAACAAGTGTGAATAGGTTGAGAATATGTACAAAAAGGAGCATATAAGAGTGATAATAGTGAGTTAACTATTAAAGTGAAAGCAAACTAAAAGTAAAATAAAAATATAAGATTTTTTACAGGGAATGACTAGTGAAGAGGTTAAGACCAAGATAGAATAAGAGACTGGACAAACAGAGTTCGAGGTTGTATTGAAGAGTTGCCAACGTCTCCACCATACACAAATGCCGAAACCTGACTCCCTTTGTACCATTTGGCCTCATCTTGTAGATAATCTTGAAAGACAGCTCTGGTGAGGCTGCGTGACTTGAGTTCACCAATCGCTCGAGAATTGAGCTAGTAACTGCCTTGCATTGTCCTTTTGCTAACCATGCCGGATAATGTTCAGATATGTGTTTGGAAAGTGTGCGCTTTGTGCGTCCAATATAACTAGCTCCACATGAGCAAGTGAATTTATAAACACACATTGAAGTGGCCCCAAACGGCAGTTTATCCTTCACACATCCATTGATAATTTGTCGGCTGTAGAAATTGATCCGTAGCTCAGCCACAAAGAAAGCTTTTCTCAGTGATCTGCATAAGCGGTTCTTCAGAATCTCAGCAGCGGCATCACCTTTAAATTGAACGCTCATAAATAGCAGTTTCTTCGGCACCGTCTGGGTTCTTTCAGGCTTTTGCTTTAATTTCATGTTTCTCTCGATGAATCTAGGAGGATATCCATTTTACACGAGTACTTGTCTGAGTCACTCCAGTTCCCCGTCGATTGTATCACTGGAACATATCCTTTTTATTCTTGAGGATAAGGAGTGGATCAGATTTCTTTCTCTTCTCAAAGGAACCCAACTATGAAAATTCGTGTATTGACCATTTTATGTTGGTTTTCTGTCAATCGATCTTTGAAGCGAATCATCAGATCTCCTTTTTAGAAAAAACATCCATAAAATGGAATTCCGAGTTCATCTCTGATTCCGACGTGAAGTGGATGGCATGATGGCAGCTGCTGAACTCCTTAGTTATCATTTCGACGCTGATGTTCTCGTCACATATGACGAAAGTATCATTCAAGTATCTTTGGTATATATGGAAATTATCGATAGTGGATCATAACATACTATTCTCCAGACTTGCCAACAAGCAGTCTGCAAGTAAAGAACCCAATGGTGACCCCATTGCCACTCCATCAATTATGTCACCCACTATGACTCAATAATAGCCTACTATACATTTTCGGTAAATGTAAACACGACTGTACAGCCTCTGAAGATGATTTGATCGATAAAGAGAATTTTCTTCGTTGAACTGTCTTTCATTTTCTTCATGACTCAGTGGGTGTTTTCAGTGACTAAATTGGAGTCTAGTGTCCACCAAATTCGTAAGGAGATATTGCGAAGGTAATGGGTAATTTTGGTCACATTGATTTGGAATGAGAATTTATCGAGAAAGTTAAACAGGCTTGCGAATAATTAAATGTATAGGATAGTCTTACTATTATCATACCACTGGACAATAGTTAGCAATACACAAAAACTGACATTTCAAAAAATAGAACTACAAATTAGTCTCATGTGGTTTCCGAAAATCTACAGTCACTAAGGTGCATTTAGAGTATGATAATCCATACTCAGTATCCTAAGACTTCTCGCATTTCCCAATGAATGAAAAACAAGAGAATATTGTTCTGGCTGACATTTCGCGACTTAATGCTAATAGCTTTATCAAAGTATCATCCAGCCAGAATTGGCAAAATCTCAGCTTACATATAATGAATTAATCATCGTTCTCCAGTATCAGGTAATTTTTGTCGTCAAGTTGGTGAATTGTAGAAGATAACAAAACCATGTGTGGATTGTTGGATTTGACAAGCGTATGAAATTATTAAATCAGTATGTGTCTACATAATGAAATAGCTTATTACGTTTGTATGGATTTTGTCACTTCATGGGAAGGAGGGGGTGTTGGGACCAGACCAAATTCTGTCTCAGCCAATCACTCTTATTCGGACAATTTGGATTCCAGTTATAATGGAGTGCTTCTGATATTAGACGTCCCTTGTGATTTCTGAGGTTTTTCTGGATGACTTCAATGTTGTCAGTATCGATTTGGTGGCCTGATTCTGTAGTGCGTAGATCTATGGCTGATAGCTTATCAAGCTTTTCTAGTTCAATCATATATTCATAATGTCACAAAAAGAAGACAAATGCAGAAATTCTTGAAGCTGGGAGAAGGAAAGTAATCACAGAAAAACTCAAAAAATGATTTAAAAAATATTTTTATTTATTATGTATTTTATTTTATTTTATCATGGCTGTATCCCATACAGTATTTTGATACAACT